TCGCTCCGGGTGGCGTAAGCGGTGGTAGTATTTATTCGAAAAATTTGGCGCACACTCGAACCCCTCCCACTCAACATGGCTGAGTTCGCAGCCTCGACTCACCGGTGAAGTGAAGCGTTCATACCCAGGTGACGCGCACAACGATAGCGTCTCGCACAAACATGGGAAATTTGCCTTAACACTGACGAATTTCCCCGTTCCCATCGACTGCTACAGAGCACTAGCAAGTCTAATCAACACTGGTATGGGATCTACGAGTCTGTTGCTGCTCGCATGCACATTCCCCACGATCCCAGATCACTGTACCTCTACCCCCTGCACAAAAATGTCTTAAACCCCTCCAAGCGACGACTTCGGCCGGATTCTGTGACGACCGTTGTCGTAGGTGAAGCAGGAAGCATCAGCAGTTGAGTAGTCCAGCCACCACGACGCCCTATACTTCAATTTGGCCGAATTGAGTACAGAGCGTCTTGACAAGGTGGCAGCTGGGTTCAGAATGAGGCTCACACCGACAACTCCCGCGTCCTTCTCGAAATAACCAATGAGAGGAAGGCATACAGCGGCCTACCCCTCTCATCCAATCAGCGACGGTGTAGCATAGCCCCTAGGGCAACTCCAAGATGGCCGACCAACATGGCGGCTCAAGATGTTTACCAAGATGGCGGCTGTTTCCATGACGACTCAAGTGGCCAGCGAGCGCGGGAGGCCCACAGCTCACCCACACCTGCGGCCTAGCTGTTCCCGCGCAAAGTTGAGTCTAGCCTCATGCCATACAATGAGTTGATGCTATCAGCTCTAGCACTATCCACAGACATGCCACCGTGGCCAGGGTAACATTTATGGACTGCTGGTAACTGGTGCTCTCACATGAGCCCAAACACTAGATGTTTCGGTTGCTGGTTACCAAACTTAAGTCCGCCCACTTAACAAGTGCACTTAACAAGTGTACTGGCTCCCACAGGCATAAGAGCACTATTGTAAGCGAGCTGGTGAACCATCCCCTCACACTTGGCTACAAGTATCTCTGGCAGTTCCGGCAACTGTACGGCAACACGAACCATACCGAGGTGCATGGGGTGTAACAATAGACAAGAGCTCTTTACCAAAAAATTTTACCTTCACATAGGTCTTTTCATTTGTGTACTTATCTTCCTACTACGAATTTTACTTTCACATATAACCGACTAAAACACTGCGATAGTCGACAACGCGGTGCCTTAATAACCAGCTGGTATTTAACAAGACCGACCTCCTGATGATCCTCGAGGACGCGGCAGGCGTTACTCTCCTTTACATCGGCCAGGAAGGAATAGATTTTACATTCTTTGACAGCAAGAAGGACCTTAGCCATTCAGGACCACTATGTTAGATTGATCGAAAAGAACCTCTACTCCCACGCCAATTCCAGGCCACGAGAACCATCTTCATCAACGGGAAGGGTGTCAATGGACCACTGAAGAGCCAATAGCCGACATCTACGCCAGCGTAGAAAATTAAAACCTTCAGGGTATATTCTAGGGCTCCCCTCGGCGAATGTAAAATTGAAATTAACCTTCACCTCATTAGCCGCAACCATCCAAGCCACCACACAAGAACTACCGCTTTGGCATCAAGATTCTACCCACCTTACCAAATTAAGATGGAACGCTCTCAAACAATGTCCGAAGTGCTACCGGTACATGCCACTATCCAAGGATGTTACAACTGACAAATTATAACACAGATGCATAACACTAGAGACAGTCGTCTTAAAAATCTCAAACCAACCGAATCCTATGCTTTTACTGACTGTTCTGTGCAATTAGGAACTGGTAGAAACGATTGTGCTTGTGCTGTATATTAAGGGAATGACATGATCATGTCTAGTACACACATTTAACGCCTGGGCAAGCACGACACAGACTGAGCTACTGGGTAGCTATCTAGCCACTGAGTACCTTAAGCGCAATGGGGATAGAGTGAGTGCTCTGCAGTCCTTAAATAACCCTTCAATTTATGTCTGAAAGTAGCTTGTAATGTTAAATGGAATGTAATTTTTGCCAATGATAATAACTATTGTATAAATTTTGTGTGGATCCCATCCCATGTTTGAGTTGGAAAGCATGACTCGGTGATTGGCCAATGAGGTTTGCAGGAAAGAAAACAGATTATAACTTTGGACTATAATTCCTAATGTTTAATAATTGCATTAAAGAAATTACTTCAAATTTAGAAGATCTAAAAGGCCCAGAGGGCTGAAAGCTGCAGTATTAAAAGCTATGACAACTTTTGCAATAGGTATTTGGATGGTCAGCACAGTAACCGGACCAAGCAATGTGATTTAGTCATTGCGCGAATTCGCCTCGGCTATAGACAGATCTGGCAGGTTAGCGAGGATGAGCCACTACCAGAATATTCAGATTATAAATCGTTACAAACCTTAATTGCATTCACTAGAACACTATATTGTTGAATGTAAAGCAAAGATTTTTAGACCTCCTGGCCTACCACCAACTATTTCATTGAATCTGGTGTACTGACGACACCCTAACAATTTATCTAAAATTTTGCTTGTTCATTTTAAAGAATGAAGAGCTATATATTATTTTGAAGCTGCAATTCACGATCCCATCCCTGCTTGTGTGTGGCAGTGCATAATAAAGTTGAATTTACATATCTGTACATTGAAACCGATTGTAACCATGATATATGTGCTTCAACCTACAGCTCAGACCTATTTTCTCGTGTATGACCCTCTGTCCTGTGTGACAGCGAATACCAACATTATCCTCACTAATAAGACCTAATTGAATTCATATTAGACAATTTTAATTAAATTTTGTTATTAAAGATAAAAGGGTAGCAGAACAAATGCAGTTTTACTAAAATGTGTAAATAAAAAAAACAGTACTAAGATTAAATATAAACCCTTTTTCATTTCTTGATTTGACGCATTTGGAGAACACCGGATGCGGAAGGGAGAGAATGGCGTAATAATTTACTCCCTAGACAGTTAAAGTGTGTTATGTTGAACTATTACTCGAGGAACTGCATTGTCGAAAAATTTATCAGCACAAATTGATACCATCGTTACCAGGGAAAGCATAGTATCCACACAGTATTTAACATTATAGGAACTTATGAATTGTATTTACTGATATGGTTATTCCGCCCGAGAATACCCAAAATTGGGCAAGCCTCGCATACTAATGTATTAATAATTGTCATACAATATCATATTAGGATGTTAGTGTTTCGATGTATACTTCTGGCAGGTAATGCGTGACAACCTGAAGAATTAATATCAATTACCTGGTACAACAAAACTTGTTATTACGCTAGCCTCACCCACTAGGAGTATCTGTGTTCATATCCGATTGTCCACGCTATAATAAGCTATACAGATAAGCTGTATTTGTTTTAATTTTAGTTACTAATCGTTTGTAGTCTTAACACCTAGTAACATTGTAGTGATTTTTCTACCAATCTATAATTCCGATTGATAGATTTGCATTATAACCCCCCCCCCCACCTTGTGTAGGAAACTGTAGGGGAATAAACTCACAGTCCACCTTATCATACAGTCGGTTATCTAAAATTAACGTAAGAAATAAATTACTATATAAATATATGCGACCAAGCTTGAATGGTCCGCAAGCACCATTCAAGCTTGGGGGGGCCAGAACAATGTTCAATCTGCCTTAATAGTTAATTTGTTACGGCCTCGCTTACTGCCGTGTGGCCACACATTTGTGCCGAAAGCATTTACAAAGCCTTCAAGAATAGTCAGCTGATGTGTCCAAGCTGCTGTGAATTATTAATTTAATATAAATTATTAAATTTTAAATAAATCAATAAATCCCACGAGTGTTTTCCCCACAGCAGGAAATATTCAATACAGATGTTAATGTATATGGTAATTCAGAAAAAATACCAGTTCTATAGTAAATAGAAAAGTATAGAAAAATTAATTGTGGTTCTTTCTGATTATAATGTGTGGATAGGCAGGCAGAAGGGTTATTAGGTGGACAAAATATTGAAATTTTTGAAAGGTAGGATAAAGTACATTTGGCGTTTACCGTTTATACCGATACAATTCATTAAACTATCAACAATGTCAATTTTGTTGACAGTTTAGGCAACCCCCCCCCCCCCACACACCCCATCTATGATGTGGTAAGGAAACAAGTTGCTGGCTGGACACTGCTCTAACAATCCCCAGAACGCTGAGCGCGTCATCCTGAAGCGCTCAGCACTGCTACTTTTGTATACATAAAAAAATCTGCTAACTGCCTCAAATAGTATCCTTCCCCACGATAGTAGTCCAGAATATAAAGATTGGCAACAAATGCGTACTACAAAATATAGAGCACGCCGGACTAAACTTCCTGAATCCAAACTTCCTAAGGAGTTAAAGCTTTCCTGTTAACCAAAAATGCACGGATCTTTGATCAGCCAACATTGCTCTCCCACTATTCCTCCTGCTTGAGATAATTGACGAGGGAGGATGGGGTTCTACCCGATTCACTTAGTCTGCAATTATTTTTTTTTTGCCACCATCCTATGACCAATATCACATTCCAGGGAGTCCGGCCCTGGCTACTGTGGGGCGAGGACCTGTTGCCTGACCTCTCAGATAGTTGGTGGGAGTTTGCCGACCTGGCCGCCAAGGGGGTCTGGCGTGTTTACGTGACCTGCCAGTTGTTTCATGAGGGAGGGTGCTGTTTAGCTTGTTGGCACCATGGGGACCCCGCCAGAAGGCCATTAGTTTGGAGTTTTCAGAACGTGCTTTACACCTTGCTCTGGATATTGTGTTGTTGGACATGTTGCGTGTTCGTGTGGAATAGGTGTACGGGCTCAAGCTCCAGATGACCCACCGAGCGCTAGTGAAGTTTAACTCCGCGGCAGTGTACAATGAGTTCGCAGCCCGCTATGACGGACGGATTTTGGACCCTCTCTGGGGACGGCAGTACGGCCGCCATTTCCAACCACTGCTGGCCTGTTACTTGTGTGGCATTTCATGGTGTGCCCTTCGAGTTTTCGGAGGCTCTGCTTCGGAGATTCTTTGGCCAATATGGCATGGTGGTCTCTGTATGGACTGTGTTTCTTCCGGCAGGTGGCATGGGGTCTCGTGTGGTACATGGACTCTCGCCTTTAGATTAGTCCCCGGTTCCCTCCACGGTTACCTTGCTGGGGTACACACTGCGGGCATTCTATGCAGGGCAGCCACGCTCCTGTTTTTGTTGTGGCCTTGAGGGGCACCTGGCAGCCACTTGCACTGGGGTTGCAGCTGCACCTGTTGATCTGTTATGGGAAGAGGATTCCCCCCCCGTTGGTGGCGCAGGACTTCTCGCCTCATGATGGAGTGGGTGGGGAGGTTTCCCTGCCGCCTGCTGACCCGGTAGTGGTTCAGAGTTCCTCGGCTGCTGGCCCAGCGTGTGTGGATATTGGTGTACATGAAGAGGTGGGTGGTGTGCGGGGCTCTGCCCCCGCAGTCTGTCTCCTCGCTTCCGAGGGCTTCTGCACCTGTTTCCACCTCTGCACCTCTCACCTTCGACATCCCTGCAGGCTCCTTCACCACTGTTGGTCTCTTCCTCTCCTCTGGCAACGCCAATTCTTTCTCCTGTCTCTTCTGTGGGTGGCGGTCTCGTCCCCCATGTCGTTGAGGCTGACCTTCTGCGGGGTCGTGCTCCCCAGGTTGTCACGAGGGCGGTTCCCCTACCGAACAAGAGTATTTGGGTGGTTAATAAGCTTAATTTAAGTGTCTATCATGAAAATTCCCTGAAAAATATTCTCCACGATTGCTGTGTGTTGTGTTGCTTGCACATGGGTGCGTGGTTGTATGTGTGTGTCCGGGATGGGGTGGGATTGCACGTGTGTCCGGGATGGGGGCGGGTTTTGTTTTCCGGTTTTTTGTTTTAATTTGCGCGCGTGTGCGTGTGTGTGTGTGTGTGTGTGTGTGTGTGTGTGTGTGTGTGTGTGTGTGTGTATTATGTCCTCACGGCCTTCTGGTCGTCTGCACGTGTTTTTGTACTTACGGTTCCCTGTGTGGTTCTGTTTTCTGTTATGAATGTTGTGTGTTTCTTGTACTGGTTATGTGTCCTGTTCTGATTTTTGTTCTGTAATTTGTTTTGCTTTTGTTTTCAGTTTTATGCGTTTTGTTTTTACCAATTGTTTCCTTGTTTCCTTGTACACTTTGTTACTGACACCTTTAATGCGCCCCAGCTGGGTAGTGCAGCTTGTGTTTTTTTTTTTATGTTCCCATGTATTTGTATTTTTTTTTTACTTATGTTATATTGCTGTGTGCCTTGTTATCTGTATTTGGTCACTGTGTTCCTTGTTATTCTATGCTTACTATGTGCTGTTACTGTTTTTTTTATGGTATTTGTGTTGTGTGGTGTAGTGATTATGCTTGGTTTTGGTATTTCTGTATCTTGTGCTGTATTAAATGTTTTACAAATAAGAAAAATGCATCACATTCCTACTTCAAGCATCTACCACCTCAAGTGGTAATCTTCGCGATCACTGGACACCATCGCATTTCACGTTTCGCTTCTCCCTTCACCCCTACCTTAAGGTTACCTTGAGGTGATTTCGGGGCTTAGCGACCAAACGGTCAGGTCGTCGACCAGGCCTCCTCGTTGCTGGACTGGTCAACCAGGCTTTTGGACGCAGCTGTTCGCAGCCTGACGTGAGAGTCACAGCCTGGTTGATTAGGTATCCTTTGGACGTGTTCGCCAAGTTCTCTTGAACACCGAGGGGTCGGCCAGTGATGCCCCTTATGTGTAGTGGAAGCGTGTTGAACAGTCTCGGGCCTCTGATGTTTATAACGTTCTCTTTCAGAGTATCTGTTGAATCTGCTTTTCAACTGCAGATTGACAGCTGAACGTCCACGTTGAACGTTACCACGGACTGAAGTTCACACTGCACGTGGACAAAACCCTAGTGCACTTTCCCCTCCCAGGAATTGCTGCACCTGTAGGCTGTATTTCCGCCTACGACAGTGCTTCAGGCGTTATCAATGCACCCACTTTGCCCAGAACTGCGTGAGTAGAGTTGCAACATCTGTGTTGAGAAAAAAACATTACAGGAGTTGCAAGGCTACCTACATACCAGCGCTGCCTACTATGAGATGAAGCCCACACCGCAGTTTCATCGGACTGCACAGCTAGGAAAGCTGAAGTTCAGAAAATGACTGAAACCAGACAAACCACCGCCACTCCAACACCGAAGACATTCAACATCCAGGCAGTAGCCTTCCCAGACCTCCCGACAAGGGGCGGCGCTCCATGCAACTACTGGACAAACATTCGCGGTAACAGCCAATCGCAGATCCGTATGACACCTCCCAACCAGGCCAGCCAATCATCGACCCGGCCGTCGCCACCACCACCCACCATCGATGGCACTGTTGCTGCCCCTCATCCATTTCAAGGAAAAAAAGCTGGCAGATTTTCTGGTATTTATGTACACAACTATTTCTTACATTCACGTACAGCCACTAGCACACATTGCGTTTCGGGCAAGTCCTTAATTCTATATTCCACGGAATACGACTGCCAAATATTTTAACAACCAGGTCCCCATTTAACTGTTGGGTAAACAGGTTACAGGTAAGGATTGACACCCAGTAAATCTTCCCTGGCCAGGATACTATATCAGAAGGCAGTATCAAATACTCTATTTAGAAAATCTTCGTCTTCAATATCTGAGGCCATGCTCGCCTGATACTTCTCAACCAGTGGCCAGCACCCCATCTATAGACCCCATCAAGCCTACAGAACCAATTCCAATACCGGCAAGCACCCGCACCTCGGAGCCACCCCCCCCCCTCCACCCTCCCCATCGATCGTGGGACCTGCAGGTCAACCAACGCCAGAACGTGACCCAGGAACGCCAACACTGACCCCAGACCACTCAGGAGCAATAGAAACTACAGATAATGACGAAACCACAACCTTTGAAGACAACTTCGTTACCGCCTACCAAGTCGACAAACCCTTGAATGAAGTTCTCACGTACCCACGTGAGACAAGACGACATCCCATCCGGAAGGAAGTATTACCATGTCAAACTTCGGCAGAATCATTTACACAGGGGGTACCTAGGTGAACTACAGACCCCTTGCAAATTCTAACTCCACAACCCAAGTCACCCAGCCCTGCCAATGAAATGTGATAGCCCATGTCATTCATAGCAAACGGCACCATCCGTTTGTATGCGCTGCGTTTCATACGCCAGCTGTAGGTAAACAGAGCGTACAACTTGGACGCTGCTAGTCATGTACCAATCTAAGTATTAAAGTCAGTAACTAAGCAATGGCTTTATATCAATCCTACAACCAAGACTTCCCCAGCAACACAGAACACCACACTGGCGACGAGGATAAATAGTTAATTCGTCCAGCTCAAAACAAGGGGAAAAGCATGTTGTCTTGCCCCAGAGGAAAAACCGTGCTATCTGTGAGCACCAGACCAATGCCGTGTGCCCACTGAAGCTGTGTGATATCTACCGATTCTGCGTACAAAACCCAATGTTTTGTGTACTAAACGATGCTTACACTCTTCATGCTGTGAACTGTCTGCTTTGTTGACGGTGCTGAAAACTCAAAATTGCTGACAACTGCCATGTCAACTATGAGTTGGACCACCACCACATGTACACAAGGCTAGGAGAGACGTCAGTTGCTGCTGTATTGTGCACCGTTGTCAACTTTTGCATTAAAATGCTTGTGTGCTTTGCAAAATTAAAGTAATTAGTGAATTTTTAACTAACATTCACAGTGCAGTAAGTTTTTAGTCTTCTAAGAAAAATCCCTTGCCGAGTGACACTACGAGAAATTAAAAAAAACAGTTCCCAAAGCTTGAGAACTGCAATGGTAAAGCGAAATCTAACCTTCTCTAGTCAGACAGAAGGACGCTCTTGCTCGAGGCTGTGAACACTTCAATTTATGTGCTTGGTGCACCCTTCACCGCGATAATCACTGACCACAAGTCGTTGGAAACAATATTCAATTATCCGAAGTAAGCTCACCAGCTCACATTGAGAGATGGGCTCTTCGCCTGCAAAGCTACAACTTTACTGAGAAGTACCAAGCCGGGTGCAGGAAATCCCGCTGATTACATCAGTCTACATCCTGCCAACAGTTTCATCACCACCAAACATCAGCAAGTTGCCGAGGAATATGTACACTCTGTAAACCGTGATGCAGTCCAAGGCTCTCTTATCAAATCCATACGGCGACCCTAGAGGATCCAACTCTGCACAAGCAACAGTGGATGCACTGACCAAGAAAAAGTTTCCACGCATCCCACTCCCAGGAGTTGACAAAGATGCATTCAAAGCAAATGAACGCATCCAAACAGAGTTAAGCCTTACGCAACAACGCGACACTGTGCTGCGAGGTACTCTTATCATTCCAGCAGTTCAGCAGCGTGCTCTGAAGCTTGCACATCAAGGACGCAAGGTCTTGTTAGGACCAAACAGCTGCTACGAGAAAAGGTGTGGTTTCCAGGTACTGATCGTCAAGCAAAGGACATGCATGATGCCTGTGTCCCTTGCCAAGCTCTAGTGGATACTTCGACACCTCTACAACCTTCACTACTACCTGCTGCACCATGGACTAAAGTATCAATGGACTTCTGCGGACCACTCCCAACTGGAGAGTACTTTATGGGAGTCAATGATCATTCACGTTATCCAAAAGTAAAAAAGTACTTCCACATCTGCAAAGGCTGTCATCCCAAAACTCGACAAGATCTTTTAAAATTTTAACATTCCTGAAGTTAAGACCGATAAGGGACCGCCATTCAATGGACAAGACTTCTTCAACTTTGCCGAGCACATTGGATTCAAACATCGCCGTATGATGCCACTACATCCTCAAGCAAATGGAGAAGTCGAGAGATTCATGCAACTTCTCATGAAAGCGGAACGCTGTGCTCATGCCGAAGGATGATCCTGGGAACAAGCTATGTTTGCTATTCTCAGGAACTACCGTACAACACCGAATGGAACACTGGGCAAGTCGCCTGGTGAACTGTTTGGACGTCCTATGAGGATCACACTACCTGTCATGCCAGCTGAGGTAACGGATAAACGTCTCGCTCAGAAGGATGCACTGGCCAAAGGCAAAATTAAAATTTCTTATGATCAACATGCAAAGGAACAATTCATAAAGGTTGGACACTGTTCTAGTTAAGAAGAAAAAAAAAAGAGGGAAATCTAGATATGCCGTATGATACAAAACCATATAAAGTGATTAGTGTAAGTATCAGTAAAACAGTGAGTAATAAGAGTTCATAGTATACCACACAACATGGCTTACTTCAAAGTGATTCCAACTAGTTTAGAAAATGATCAAATGCAAAGTCGTACAAACGATAAAGAAAAAATTAGTTATAACTATAAACAATTCATCAAGGGATATTCCTGTGTTTAAGGACTTTCTAAACGTCATGTTAAACGCCCTACGTGATTTCATCGTGTTCCTATGTAATGCAAATTATTTACTTATGCTAAATTGAAATTAAATAGTTTGAATAATGCAGAGCTTACTCAATATTTTATAACTGTAGTAGTATGTCATTTTTGTTTAACATTTCATATTTTAAACATTGATATCCGGTGTGGTAAAGATTAAGTTGTGTAAATTCTTTGTGTGCTTTATGTAAAATGTATGCAACATCTTTTGATATGTTAATAACTATAGCTTTGCTTTGTGCTACAAGTATGGTAGACATCCTTTATTCATTCTTTTAAAGTAAAGGAGGGATGCCATGTTCATAGCAAACGGCACCATCCGTTTGTAAGCGTTGCGTTTCATACGCCAGTTGTAAGTAAACAGCGTACAGGACGCCCACCTAACTTGGACGCTGCTAGTCATGTACTATTACATGTACTAAAGTCAGTAACCAAGCAATGGCTTTATCAACCCTACAACCAAGACTTCCCCAGCAACACAACACCACAGCCCACATTAACCGAAATACACGGAGACGGCAGCAAGACTAACCCGCGTTGTCTACATCGATCTAAAAAAATGTGGCGGCCTGCTAGCACCTACCTACCCAGCAACCCAAGCAAAAGGACCAAGTTGTATCAAGACTTACTCCAGCAGTCTGCCAAACCAGAACCAATTTAAAGCACCAGACTTCACCATCCCCCCTTTAAGGGGATGGCGACTTAATTTTGCCCGTTTGGATTTTTTTTTTAAATACATAGGAGTTCTTTCAGTCTTGTACAGCCACTAGCACGCATAGCTTTTTGGGCAGGTCCTCAATCCTAATATTCCCCGGATTATGACCCGCCAACTCAACAACCAGGTACCTATTTTACTGTTGGGGAAACAGAAGCTACAGTTTAGGATTGGCAGCCAGAAATCTTCCCCCAGCGAACCCAGGCCAAAGTGCTCGCGAAACGCCAGGAGTTTTACCACTCGCCAACTGGTGAAAGCCATATCCGCCTCCGTAAAACTGACGTAACATTTCTTCAGCACCACAGAAGAAAGAAGACTAGCTTCATGGAAGAAAGAGGACAGCTGTCTTCACCTCTCCGCCCCCGACTCAAGACCCTGCCTCCTCGCCTAGTCGGCCCGGTGTTTAAAACCCTCTGTTACGCCACGCAGCTGGGTTTAGCCCTGGCCATATCTGTCTTCAAAGTTTCTTCTCACTGGCTATTCTTCAGCTATAGACACTTCCCCGTTCATCCGAAGGCTATCTTGTCCTATATCTCATTCAGGCACATCCCCCACCGGCATGGTAGACACTTTACTTCTAACTTACCGTTTACTTGAAAACTGAAATTTCTCCACCTTAATTGCTTAGGTCTTTACCTCTTTACTGCATCTGACGTTATTGATAACATGCTACCAAGTACCTTATACTTGCCGCTATAGTACAGTTAACTCAATGAAATCCTTTATCCAGTTGATCCTAACCTCATCAGGGACAAACTACTCACGAAATGAACGAAATTGTAAACAGCTCAATTCCAAGGCAATGTCAAATCAAAGTGAAAAATCGAAATCTATGAAACGTCAATTTATCAAATACAGTCGGAAACACTGAAATGGAATCTTAACATTTAGTGTAGTGTGTGTTGCTCTTACGTGCAACAGATGGCGCTGTTTTTCAAAAAAGCATGTTTTTACCTCACTGGTGTTGCATCTATAGTAGGTATATAAAAACATGCGCCTATTTGAATGCAACGTTGTGTCAAAATTTCAAAGCAATTGGTAAAAAGGTTTCGATGATGTCACTCACATGACAACACATGAAAAACAGTTAAAAAAGCATGTTTTTCCTCGTCACCGACGTGACATCTATATAGTATGTATATAAAAACCCACTCGGATGCGAATGTAAAGTTGTGCAAAAAATTTCAAAGCAATCGGTGAAGAACTTTCAGAGATTACCGATTTTGAACAAACGAACATTTCCATTTATATAGATAGATTACCAAGGCCGCTCGATCCCAGAGAGTAAGGCCAAAGCCGTCATCCTTGAACATTAAAGAACTCACTCTAGCAGCAAGTTCCACGGACACGGGATCTAACATGGAGAAGAAACTCCAATACTCATCACAGTATGATCATTCACACTGTAAAAAACACTGAACTAACCTGCTGCTCATCGTGTGCCGGGTATCACCTCCTCACTTCCCTGACACACTCGTAACTACGTCCATCCACTGAAGTGCGAGACTGCACACTGAACACCAGCCGCTTCCCTCCCCGACTGCATGCACACTTGTCCACCAATCACCAGCCATCAGATTATTCCGCCAGCCAATAGCAACTTGCCATATGAACAACCAACGAATCAGATTTCAGCTCATACCCAGTCCGAATTACGGACCTCGTCTTCCATCAATAACAAATACTCAATAGCGTAGGACTGTTGTTTCAGCAGTTATCATTTTCCATAAGCAAAAATACTTTTTACTCAAGACAATATTTTAAAAATCTTATTCGCTATGCACGTATTTGCGATTGTAAATGAACATAATACATACACTATATTTATTTTAAAATTGCAAATGAGTATCATACATTAGTAGGCTCAGCAGCGAGTGTCGGTGTTGCTCTAGGAACTTTGTTTTTGTTTAGAATAATATACGAAAGTTTAGTTCTTCAATAATTATGTATACCCCATACTCATCCTGTGGAAGGTATTGGACCCCAATATCCATCCTGTGCATAGTATTGGACCCCCATACCCACTCTGTGGACAGCATTGGACCCCCATACTTGTCCAACAGGCGGTACAGGAACGGTTACATCCACACTTACTATCTACAGTTAGCAAACTATGAACATTGGGCTAAAATTCCTCGTAGTGGATAATTGTGAATGAAATATTTGAACAGATGCTGTAAATTTGTTTTAGTTCTGTTTCTAAATTCACGTATCTTTTTGCACTCCATGGCATAGTGACGAAGAATGTGTGAATAGGTTTGCTGACACAGCTTACATCTGGTCAGGTCTATATCAGCGGGTAATGGAAACTCACAGGGATACTTATAATTGACTCCAAGCGAAGAATTAGTAACTTCTAGCAGTCTGCTGGTTTTATTGGATGATCCACAGCTGTGTGGCTATTCTTGCATTACTAGTGGCTTTACATGAATGTAAAACTTCAAGTCTCTGTACTCTCATGAACCCTATGTACCTTCTTGTATATAAATAAATAAATAAATTAACTAATGTAGTAATTTGCCCCAGATCTATAAAGTTCGAGTTTTTGGTGCAATATAGTTCTCAAGCTGCTTATAGGCAATCCAAGCAATTATAGTCAACTCTTCCTAATGAAGGCTGATTCTTTGACTATTAGTTGGCAGTGTAATATAATGAAGACAGATTCATTAGTTCTATTATGCAATTGGAGGCCAACTAAAGATGGGATCCACGTTAACTTTCATTGTATTTATGTCAAGCTATTAACACGAGCGTGCCAAGTATGTCATAGGGTGTTTAGCGTAGTTAAAGATGATAAAGACTTACTTAGAATTAATGTTAAAATTAATTAGAATTAGAATTTAGAATTAAACAAGAATGTATGAACTCTTGTATATATAAATATAAAAAAATAATAAATGTCAAGTTTGGAAACACGTCTACATACATTAAAGTCCAGGGAGTATTACAAGTAGTTTACTCTGAAAGGTACAGTCCAAGCTTCGTCTTGACGTGCGCGCGCACACTCACACACATTAGGTGAAAGGAGCAGGAGGGTGAACACAAGGTACCATCTGGGAGGTGAAATCCTGCAAGAGTCAAATAGAGAGAGAGATTTAGGGAAACATCGAACCTGTCCCCAGAGGCCCACATCAAAAGGATATCATCAGCGGCATATGCTAGACTGGCCAACATAAGAACTGCATTTAGAAACTTGTGTAAGGAATGGTTCAGGACCCTATACAACTTATGTCAGACCAATCCTGGAATATGCAGCTCCAGCCTGGAGTCCATACCTAGTTAAACACAAGAATAAGTTAGAGAAGATTCAGCGGTATGCCACCAGGCTCGTCCCGGAACTGAGAGGTATGAGCTACCAGGAAATGCGAAAGAAGCTGAACCTCACGTACCTGGAAAACAGAAGAGTAAGGGGAGACATGATAACCACCTACAAAATTCTCAGGGGAAATGACAGGATGGACAAAGGGGGCGTTATCTCTGGAAAATTAAGTTGTTCAATGTCAACCATTATTTTTTGACTAGTTTTAAAGTTTTGTTAAAGTAAAAGTAAAGTAAAGTTTTGACTAAGTTGTAAAGGGCTGCAATTGTTCCAAGGTTCAGTACTGTAGCCTAAATAGTAAGGGAGATTTTTATTTTTTTTTATTTTTTCAACGAATTTTACACATTTTCGAGTGTATATTTACAACCACACCTTTCAGATATAATCATTTTATGACACTTTTCTGACACATTCGCATATAATAAAGGATCTATAGGAGGGGATTTTCCAAAACGGCTTTAGTTTTCCTAATACAAATAGTCTAAGTTCCCCCCCCCCCAAATTATGCAAATATATCATGTTTATTGCTATTTATAAAATCAATAAATGAACTCAGGAAAAAACGCTTCCTTACGATTTTAGAGACATAAACTTTACATATAAAGTGTAAGTTTCATGTAAGTTGAATATAAAATGAAAGAGATATTTATTTTCAAGTAACATAAACGTTCAAGTAAGTAAAAAAATAAAGTCTAAGGTGTTGCCATCTGTGGCTGAGGTTGACATCAACCAATTTCTTCCAAAATTAGCACCCTTACACATAGGTTTACGTGCAGTCAGGTGTATAAGTTTCATGCAAATCGCCCTATAAACAAAAGAGAGAAAAAATTAAAAAAAAAAAAAAAAAACGAAAATTTGCCCTGTTTTTTTAACAAATTTTTTTTTAATAAAACTAATTATAATTTGTTTTTAATATAATCTATTGTGATAGCTGAGAGTCATAGACATGATTTCAGTTGACATTTTTGTTTGATAATCGTTTTTGACCATTTTGGAAAATTTTTGACACATAATTCAATATTTTTTTTCTCCCTTCCCATTTATGCTACGATACTGAGACTTGGACCAGATGAAACCCTTTCCATATACAACTTGTAAAAAAAGTTTGATTGAAATCGAACGAGTTTTCATTTATTGCATATTTTGGGTAAATTTGGAAGTAACGCCCCGTAATGGATGGGCAGAGTGCATATTTCTGGACTGCCAAAAAGCCTTAGATACAGTACCGCACAGAATATTGCTATTCAAACTTGAAAAGCAGGAGGGAGTAAACGGAAAGGCTCTAACATGGGTAAGGTACTATCTAACAGGAAGGAGCCAGAGAGTAACGGTAAGGAGCAAGAAGTCTTTGCCTGCCTGCTCTGGCAATACCCACAGCTCTGCTATTCAATAAATCTCTATAATGTCATACGTTTCCTGGTATTCTTAAAGAAGCAAGAGTGACACCAGTTCATAAAGGGGGCGAGACAGCTGACTAACAATTACATATCAATGGTATGTAATTGTTTGATGGTAATCATGGGCATAGTATTTTATACTGCTCGGAGCACTATGCAACTGGTGTACAGGAGACCTTAACCACTCGACCATCACGACCGTACAAAATATGATGGTAGCTGAGGCTATTTGCCCATCATCCTAGGGCCATCCGTACGGCTAAACGTGAATGTTGGGCATCTTATGTCTCAACAATTACGTCCAAAACCTCTCTGGCCCAGATCTGGAAGCGTATCCGCAAGATAGCGGGTAAGTTCGTTCCCGATGTTTCACCGGTCCTTCACCTCCATGATACTCTTGTGGCGGACCCGTTGCAGGTCGCTTCCGAACTGGGTTCCCACTTTTCTTCTGTTAGCTCTAGTCTTCATCTTCCCCAATCTTTCCTTCTTCGAAAACCTGTCCTTGAGTCTCGTCCCTTAGATTTCTGCACTCATCTTCAGCTTCCTTATAATGATCCCTTCTCTCTCTCTGAACTTCGTTCTGCCCAGGCCCTCTGCGGTTCTACGGCGGCGGGCTCTGATGGTATTCATTACGAGATGCTTCGCCATCTCCCTCCGAGTACGTCTCAGTATTTACTGAGTCTCTATAATCGGATCTGGGAGTCGTCGTCAGTCCCTGAGGGCTGGCTCGATGCCGTTGTCCTCCATGTTCGCAAACCGGGGTCTCTGGGTACTTCCCCTAAGGACTTTCGCCCTATTGCTCTCACAAGTTGTGTCTGCAAACTCTTTGAACGTATGGTTAACGTTCGTCTGATGTGGTTCCTGGAACACCATCACCTCCTCTCCCTTTCTCAATTTGGTTTCCGCAAGTGCCGCAGCACGACAGATGTCCTGGTGAACTTGGAGGTCTATATTCGTACTGCTTTTGCTGCGAAGACCTCCGTTGTTGCCGTCCTTTTTGACCTGGAAAAGGCTTATGACACCACTTGGCGTTATCATATCCTATCTCAACTTCATTCTTTTGGCCTTCGTGGTCATCTCCCTCTCTTTCTCCGCAGCTTCCTCTCTCGTCGTTCCTTTCGGGTGCGCCTTGGTACCGCTCTCTCTCCCTCTTTTCAGCAATACGAAGGTGTGCCCCAGGGTAGTGTTCTGAGCACTACTCTTTTTCTGGTTGCCCTCAATGGTCTTCTTTCCTCTCTTCCTTCTGGTGTCTTCTCCGCTCTCTATGTCGATGATCTTACCCTTTGTTGTCAGGGTGATGATTCGCCTCTCCTTCAACGCCGGTTTCAACTTGCAATTGATGCCGTGTCGTCTTGGGCCACCGATCAAGGCTTCAAGTTCTCTACTTCTAAGACTTGTGCCATGACTTTTACGCGGAAACGGGTTGTTCTTCGTCCCTCTTTGTCACTTTATGGTCATCCCCTTGAATACAAAGATTCCGCGAAGCTTTTGGGGTTATTCCTTGACACTCGTTTGTCTTGGTCTCCCCATATCTCTTACCTCCGTGTTGAGTGCTCTAAGGCCCTTACCCTCCTTCGGGTCTTGTCCCATACTTCTTGGGGGGCAGATAGGCGCACTCTCCTTGCTTTACATTCCTCTCTCGTCCTGTCTAAGCTCGATTATGGTTGCCCTGCTTACTCGTCTGCTTCTCCTTCTACTCTTCGCCGTCTTGATGCTTTGCACCATACTGGGTTGCGCCTCAGTTCTGGTGCCTTTCGTTCGACTCTCATCCTTAGCTTGTATGTTGACACTGGCTTCCTGTCTCTCCAGGACCGCCGTGATCGCTACTGTCTTTGCTATCTTGCGCGGTCCTTGCAACATCCTTCCTCTCGCCTCTGTCGTGCTTTAACTTTTA